TCCCTCCCTCCCTTCCTTCCTTCCTTCCTTCCTTCCTTCCTTCCTTCCTTCCTTCCTTCCTTCTTTCTTTCCTTCTTCTTTCTTTCTTTCTTTCTCTTCCTTCCTTCCTTCCTCCTTCCTTCCTTCCTTCCTTCCTTCCTTCCTTCCTTCCTTCCTTCTTTCTTTCTTTCTTTCTTTCTTTCTTTCTTTCTTTCTTTCTTTCTTTCTTTCTTTCTTTCTTTCTTTCTTTCTTTCTTTCTTTCTTTCTTTCTTTCTTTCTTTCTTTCCCTTCCTTCCTTCCTTCCTTCCCTTCCTTCCTTCCTTCCCTTCCTTCCTTCCTTCCCTTCCTTCCTCCCTCCCTCCCTCCCTCCCTTCCTTCCTTCCTTCCTTCCTTCCTTCCTTCCTTCCTTCCTTCCTTCCTTCCTTCTTTCTTTCTTCGACAGAGTCTTGTTCTGTTGCCTAGGCTGGAGTGCAGTGGGACAATCTCAGCTCATTGCAACCTCCGCCTCCTGGTTCAAGTGATTCTCCGGCCTCAGCCTCCCGAGTAGCTGGGACTACAGGTGTGTGCCACCATGCCCGGCTAACTTTTTATATTTTTAGTAGAGACAGGGTTTCACCGTGTTAGCCAGGATGGTCTCAATCTCCTCACCTCATGTCATGATCCGCCTGCCCTGGATCCCGGAGTGCTGGATTTACAGGTGTCAGCCACTGCGCCCAGTCCAAGATTTTTCTTTTAGTGACTTACTTGCTGCTATTCACATGCTATATGCATTTTTAAACTGTGCCATATTCTTATTTTTGTATACTCTTATTCTTCTGTCATTGTTATCGGAATTGAGTGGTACTGATTAGTCAACACAAATGATTTCATGATAACATTCCAATTATATTAGACTAAATTTGTCTTTGTGATCAAAGTTGATTAGCTGTTGTGACTTACTTACATCAGTGATTCAATTCACCGGTAAGACTGGGAAGCAAGTGTTACAAGGCATTTTCAAGTAAATTTGGTTAAAATGTGGGTTTTTTCTTCTACTCTTTCTTAGAAGAGGACAGTCCTCTTTTTCTATGTTCCTAAAGTTAAAAGTTGATGTATGCATAGTGATTAAAAGAATAGCACAATGGCTTGTTTTGCATATTTAAAAAAATCAAATTTTGTGTTTTCAACATGAGTAGGAGTTGAAAAGTATAGATTGTATTAAAATGTTTGAACATTTTAATACATTAAAAGTAGATAATTAACTATTAACCTGTTAAAATAGATATGAACTATTAACCTATAAAAATAGGTATGAGGCCGGGCACAGTGGCTCACGCCTATAATCCCAGCACTTTGGGAGGCCAAGGCAGGTGGATCACGAGGTCAAGAGATTGAGCCCATCCTGGTCAACATGATGAAACCCCGTCTCTACTAAAAATACAAAAATTAACTGGGCATGGTGGCACGTGCCTGTAGTCTCACTACTCAGGAGACTAAGGCAGGAGAATTGTTTGAACCCAGGAGGTGGAGGTTGCAGTGAGCCGAGATTGTGCCATTGCACTCCAGCCTGGGTAACAAGAGTGAAACTCCGTCTCAAAAAAAACAAAACAAACAAAAAATAAAATAAAATAGGTATGAACATACATACCTTGTATATGTAAGGATTGGTAGGTTACACTTTAAAATTGACAGGAATGTTTTGAAATTATTCTTCTTAAGATTATTACTGATTATTAAAAATGATCTTGGAATTTGTTTTGGAAATGCTCTTCTTTACTGTGTACAATGCCTGAAACTTGTCTTACAAGTAAGCCAGACTAGCATTGGCTCTTCCCTTCCATGTCAATCCAGATATTCATTCTGCAGGCAATTATTCCTCAGTTTGTTTCCCTCCAAGGATTTGTCTTTTTTCCAGGGTGCCAATTACGCACATCTTATACTATAATCTGTGTCACTTGAATCTGACCAAAGTCTATGGAACAATTCACTGGTTAGGTATTCCTTTTCACAATTACCATCTTCATGGGAAATTGCCTACTTTAGAAGGTTGTGCCTTAAGATCTTTTACCAGAGAAATATTTGCATCGCCAATGCATTGCTTAGCTTGCTTGTCTCCAGGCTCTAACACAAATTCCTAAAATAAATAAAGCATTAATGATGTAAAAAGTGAAAAATACCTTGCTTATCCTCTTTTTCCTTCCTTTTGTGTTTACAGATGTCATCCATACTGTAGGACCAATAGCCAGAGGCCATATTAATGGTTCCCACAAGGAAGACCTTGCAAATTGCTATAAATCATCTCTGAAGCTGGTGAAAGAGAATAACATCCGATCAGTTGTAAGTAATTTTATGGTTTTTATTTCTCATTCTTTTTCAGTCTTTACAGTTTAGAAATCTGTCTTGTCTAAAAAGAGATAGGAAACCATTTCCAAACTTTTTAGCACGAACTTTAAGGATCTTAATAGCCTCTTTGGTTACCATGACTCTACTCTTTGGTATGCCATAAATATTTGCTAAATTTTTCATGATGTTTCAGAATTTAAAACTATAAAACCTCAGAACTGGAGTTATCTCATCTGCTTTTTCCTCTTTATTTTGCCCCTTATTTTCCTTTGGAGAAAGTAAATATTATGGTAGTGGCCAGCAGGTTTAAAGAAGGAAAATAGCAAGTGCTGAGTTTGTTATAACAGTGCACATTTAGTATATATTGGTCGTACATTTGTGCATTTTGGAGCTGTGTTTAATCTCTGTCTACATGTATGAATGTGTGCATGCATTCTCATGCTAGCGTCAGACATGATTTATTTGGAGAAAATTACTCTGCATATGGATTTTCACCTGAAGATTGTTATTCTTTTAGATTTATTTTACTCTTCTTAAACTAACACTGTGTAGGTGGTAGCTGGGTATACCCCATCTCTTCTAAGTTTTATCAGTAGACAAAGGGAGTTCAGAAAATGTGGATCTAATCTATTTCATTACCAGTAGGCTGAGATGAAAGGAATTATCTTCTAGCTGGATTTGGAGGTATTTACTCACCTGCTTCTCTTTTGCAACATGTTCTACCTCTATTACATCTCAATTACACCAAGAAAATCAAACTATAGAAAAATACACTGTAAATATCTGATAATAAGTTAATTTGGCTGGAGTTCTTTGGTTATTTTTCCCCCTCACATAGATTATAGCCTTGCTGAAATTGTGGGGCAGAAAAATAGTTAAACACTTGACTTCATAGCAGACCGAAGATATCAGCATTGCTTGATAGTTCACAGAAGTAGTGGTTGTATTATTTGCATGAAGGAACATTGAGAAGCAGATACATTCAGGTAACCTTGGATGGTTGCTATACTTTTTGTTCATGGTTGTAATTATGGGTTTTTCAATGCAACATTGGTGAGTCTGCTTGAAATAAGGAAACTTTTCATGACCTAAATATATAGCACTTTTTAATCTTTGTATAATTATTAACGGAGATGGGTATTTTATTTCTCTCTTTGATTTTCTAAATTTTTTTTTCTAACGGATCAATACATCAGACCCTATTCTCTCTGTGAGGTGAAACCTAAAGTTCAAAGAGAATGGAGCAAAGTTGACCTCACGACCAGTTGGTTAATTTTGTTCTCTATAGGAAAATAAGAAAAATCAAAACAGGTATGCACATTTAGGGAATAATTAAAATTTTGTCAATATGGCTTATTGATTTAAAAAAGCAAAAGGCTGAAGTGCTTGGAAAATGGATATGTAGAGAAGTATCCAACTTGGGAAATATGGATTTTGAGATCTGAAGAGAATTTGCTAGTGAAATCACTGGCATTTCTAATTTGTTTTTAAAAGCCAAGAAAAAGGAAGAACTAAGAAGTTTGTTAGAAACAGTACAAAAATAACACTCAACCTTTTAGTACAGAAAGGGATCTCTAACTCGAATTATCTTAAAACAATCATGTTACTCCACTTGCTGCCATTAGATAAGAAATGGAAGACTTATGGACTAAGTTAGCTTCTTATCAAATGGCATGCAGATGGGCTGAAGTAAAGCTCCGGTAATATTCCAGTCATTCTTTGATAGGAGTTAAATCTACCTTAACATCTTTGATAATTACTTTGAAGGGCCAATTACATATTACTTGAATAAAATGAGCAGGTAATGCTGAATGGAATTCATTCCAATATTAGTCAATAAAAATGGAGATAGAAAATATACAAAATGTGAGAGATGAAATGTTCAACTAAATTGATCATCATGTTCTTGCATGATACTACAGTTGCCATCAAATGTCTTGTCTCTTTTACACATAAAAAAGAAAAATATTTTTCTTTTCTTTCTCCCTCCTTCCTTTTCTTTCTTTCTTGCTTTCTTCCTTTTTCTGGAGTAAATCAGGCTTTCTTCTTTCTATGGAATCTCATCCTCTTGATCACCATTCAATAAATAATAATGCTAATATCATCACATTCTGATTATGTAGATGGAAATGGAAAACTTTTAGAAACATGATTATGACTGGATACATGTTTTATAGTATCAGCTTGAACTTTGTCAACTTATCACGATAGATGGAAGAGGTGGTTGATATAAAAAGCCTGGTTATCAGGATGGAAAATAAACTTAACTTGAACTCATTTATATACATGTCAAAGAGAATTTCTCATAAATCCTTTTATCAGAGTGGCTTAGTGTTTGCTTTGCCACCTATTACTGTGTCACTGTGGACAAGTAATGTCAACATTTTGTAGGTTGGTTTCCACACATAAAGGATCGGTAAATGACTACTGTTATTCGAAGACCTGTCCAGTTCATGAGGCTGTTGTTATAGGGATCAGTTGGGATAATAAGTGTAAGATAATTGGAAGAAGAGAATTCTTTTAAAAGTATTTGGCAATATTACTTCAAATATAAGATGTTTTCACACCTATGGTTTGGCAATTTAAGAAAATACCATTTTCCTTTGATGTCTATTCTGAACACCAGAACTGTAGACATTTACCATGTAATTTCTAGATGTTTCTAAACAACAGGGAAATGTCCAGGAATAAATTAAATATTTAATATGCACCACTTTTCTGCTAAGGTTAAACCAAAGGTTTTAGGATTACAGCACAGGGTCCAACACATAGACTCAGATTCTTATTTTACCAAAAGAATAGATTCTTCAAATATTTTTAATGGATGTAAGACAAACAGTGTGAAAATTTATTTAATAAATATGAATAAGACCTACTGTGTACCATGACATTATCAGTTATCTTCCAAGACATAGAGGATCTAATGGTTATTTTCTAACACAATTTGCCTCAATCTCATGACAACCCAGACAAATAAATGGACAAGATCATCCTATCTATTGTATGACTTGAGAATACTCTGAAGTTCTCTCATCACTTTTAAATATCTTCCCAGAGATGCCTGAAATTCCATAATTAATGAGTAATTTAGGATGTTCAGGCATTGTTCTTTCTCTGCAATTTTCCTTTAAAATGCAAATACCCGTGAGATCAGTAGATAATTAATTTTCTAATACCTTAATATGAAGAAATTTATCAAATTACTTTTCATGTTAACAGGATAAATTAGAGAATGCTAAAAGTACTGAGCACCTTAGCCTGGGGGAGGAGAATTGGAGAAAGGTCTGAAAGGAGATGGAGAAAAACAGAAAAAAGAGTAGGGTATAAATAAATTTCACCTATTTCTCTGTTTTGCTAAGAGGAGATCATTTTTAAATAGTGTAGAGAGAGAAATGTTATAGCCATTTATTTTATACCTAGAAATAAGATACTGATTTGGGTGTCGGATATGTTGTGGATAAAATCTTTTTACTATGAAAAAATACTATATATTGTATTAACTTAGTGGAAAAGTTCATTACATTTCTCTCCTCTATACATTCTTTGTGACAGCTGTTTTTTCATACATATCCACATTTGTTTTAGGTGGTAAAAGAAAAAAAATAATCAACAAATCTAATGGCTCATTTTACAATGGCACTTGTTTTTTATGAATGATCATTTAGTGCTTAATATTGGGAAATATTTCAATATGAGATTTTAATCATGATTCTTCTTCTAATCTTACCATAAATAGTTCTAAGTGAAAAAATACAATCTTTCATGCCTCCTAGATCTAGTCTGTGCAAGTTTCTTATTTCTTCCAAATATTATTCCTTATTTACTCCAGATATTAAAGTCAGTTATTTTTCTTTAACCATGAGTTACCCTTGGACCAAAAAATGTGCATCGATTGGTATTTATATTCTTGACAACCTTGAAATTGTTGATTGCAAGATACGTAAAATTTAAGGCACCGTGAAGAGGATAATTAGTAGTGGAAACTGGAAGTTGGAATAGGGGTAAAGTAAAACCTTAAAAGAAGATCAGGAAGCTACGTATTTTCTCCGTGAACCTTGGGAAAGATAAAGATATTATAGATGTCAAAAAGGAAAAATGACCCAGGTTGAACCCAGGAGCCGAATGCATGTGACCTGAGGTTGAACCCAGAAGCCGAATGCATGTGACCCGAGGAATGCATAGTCAGACCGGTGCAATCAAGCATCTGAATTATGTTGATTTCTAGAGCAAGAGTGTATTCTGAAAAAATTAAAACTACACATAATACATGAAATCCTTGACTAAAACATACAAACAGAAATTGTGTATATTGGTAAAAATCATGGCGAAACTTCAAGGGTGTGTGCAGGGATGAAGACAAGAAAAAATTTCTATTGCTCAGGGCTCGAGAATGAAAAGGCCTGATTTTGTATCCATTATTACCACGCACTGGTGGAGAGGATGACATAGATATTATCTTATGTATCATGCTGTCTTTATTCTTTTTGTTTGTGAGCATAGAAATATTTTGTAATGATTTTAATGTGTTTATCCTGACCTCTATTTCCCTTCTTTTAACATCATGTTCATTTTTTTAAAAAAACTAATCCGTGCCATACAAAAAGGATCACAGTAATTTCTTCTCCTAGCACCAGTTAAAAGGCATAGATTTATATTTGTCCATGACATTAGATATTCAAGAAAACGATTTTCACTGATAAATTATAATGCACCCTGTCTGACATTCTTTGAATGACAACATGTAATAAAGTAGATGTTTTATTTTGAAAAAAAATCATAATCTGAATATAAGCCAGATTTTGCTTAGGTTAAAAATTATTTTCCCCTGAAAATAAATAATAATTGACATGGGAATTTGGTATTTTATGTGATTATGGGCAGACTAATACTTGGGTGTTTGTTTAAATGGTGTGTGCTACCTGTGATTTCCACAAGCATCATGCTGGATGACTTTTTTGAGTGAGAAAACATTGTAAATTTTTGCTGGTAGGAAC